AGCATAAATCAACCAGTCGATTGCGGGCGCAGCGTTATAACAGTGGAGGTGCGAGTCCAATCGCACCCAGAATGGCAGTCAGCTTTGAACAATTGCTGGCACTTTTGCAGGAGCTGCAGACGCATTCCGAAAAGTCACAGAGGCAGTTGATGGAAGTGCTATCACAAAAATTAAACATTCATGTAGAATGGGAACTGGAACTGAAGCTGACAGCAAGAAATCGTTTCAGTATGTCAGAGGTTGCTCAAATTGAATCCTGCTGCAAATATGGTCACAAATTCGGAAGCTATGGAGGAGCAACGCTTCTGCCACACTGCCACTACAAAATCAGATGTGCCCATCACACTTAAGGAGTCGACGATAGAAATCAATGGCAGTCATATCACACGGATAAATAGACGCCACGAAGCAATGCTTCAACCTGGTCCAGAATACTGCATAATCACCAGTGCTGCCCTGAACCTCAACCCAGTCACTAAACTAGTATTCAGAGCAAAACGCTTTGTGCCAATCAGGAAAGAAAAGCATTGCAGTTGTCATGCAGGGAAAAGTCGGACAGACAGCGTGTGCCGTTTCAGAATTCGTGACAGGGGTTACGCGCGAGCTTTCCGAGGACCGAAGAGGTGGTCAACAGGAAGGGTGCTCCGCAGAACTGGTGGAGTCATTTACGAACTAACGGTTAGAAACAAGAAATGGATCAGACACGCAGATCAGCGGAGACCGAACCACGGAAAAACACAAGGGTCCGCAGACAACATATATCGAAGAAGTAGAAGAAAACCACCGACAATCGCTATGTTCCTTGATTTCAAGAATGTGTTCGATTCAGTTGATCGATGCATTCTGTCCGAAATACTTGCGCGGAAATGTGTTCCCACGAAATATGTGAACATCCTACGTGCTCTATTACTCGAACACTACAGGCCGCGTCAGGGTCTACGATGGCCTATCGGATAGCTTTCCGACCACAAGTGGCGTTCGTCAGGGTTATCCGATTTCCCCATTTTTGTTCAATTTCGTCGTGGATTCCATCATGGAGTGTTCCCTTGCGGAATCTCACGATTTAGGCTTTGAAGTGCTGTCTGGTGAAAGGTTAGTTGATCTAGATTATGCGGACGATATCGTCTTGCTTTTCGATGATATTGTGGCAGCACAACCAACCCTGAATAGCCTGTCTATGGTGGTCCCATTATTCGGTATGCGCTTTTCACCTCCAAAGTACCAAGTGTTGCTTCAGGACCACCAGCCACTTGATGACCCCTTGACCCTTGCTAACGAGTATCTGGGGGTGGTTGATCAATTCACTTATCTTGGCAGCTGCATCAACAACGATGGGCGCATAGAAACTGACGTGAGCTCACGCATTGCAAAGGCCAGAGCTGCCTTCTTGAACTTGCGGTATCTTTGGCGACAGAAGGGAATTTCCCTCCGTCTGAAAGACCTTGTATACAAGAGAGGGCCGTTCTGCTCTATGGGAGTGATACCTGTCCCCTTCGGTCTGTAGATCTGAGGCGCCTTCAAGTCTTTGATCATCGTTGTTCGCGAAGCATTGCTGGAGTCGGATGGCACCAGCGTGTCCGCAACGATGATGTGCGTAGGCGAGTACTAGGTAGTGATAAACATGCTAGCTCCCTAGAAAAACAGATAGCACTGAATAAGTTGCGTTGGCTCGGGCACGTGCTACGTATGCCTGGTCACCGCTTACCTAGGAGGGCCTTGTTTAGTCTGCCAGGTGTAGGGTGGCCCAAGGCTTGAGGTGGACAGAAGGTGATTTGGCAGCGGGAAATGAAGTCACTGACGACCAAACTGGATGCCGTTGGTCCGTCTCCTCTTCCGGGCTGGAGTCCACGTGACTCGCCTTTGCTTGGCTCGAGACTTTGCAGGACATGGCTCGCAACCTTCACCAGTGGCGCGTCAGCTGCCGTCTCCTAATCGGATTGTCTGTTTAAAGTGTGTTTGGTGCTGAGTTATCTGCGGGGTAATGGCTGATTATGACGCGTGGCAGTGAAAGCCGCAAGGAAGCTGTCTCGCCGATGCCGCCTTATTTTTGCACGATAGCCAGCTGTTTGTGACTGTATGTTGTCTACACAAGGTGTAGGTGCCTTGACCCTGAATGTTTGCTTAGTGCATTAAGGTTTTCCGGTAAGTCCCCCTTCTCTCCCTCTTCTTATACTTTATTTCATAGGTCCTCATGGTTGTATGGCAGCGAAGCATCAGTTCAAACGGCTGATGTACTGTTGTTGTTGTTGTTGCTGCTGCTACTGCTGCTGCTGTTCAGTGGTAAGTCTAACAATTGTGACCAGTTAAGATAACGAAATCGCTGTTAATCCACAAGTCGTCAACAAACTTATGGGAGGGGTCTTCAAGTCGAGGGACCAAGTCATTTGTACCGGTTAGAAATAGCAACGGACCGAGTACTGATCGCTGGGAAACTCCACTATGCGCCTTACCTGTGCTCGAAATAACGTCACCAACTCTGGCACGAAATATCCTACGGTAAAGGAATGCAGCAGCCAAGAAAGCAGTTGAGGAGGGGTTCCAAACCAGGTCATCTTTTCTAACAAGAAACAGTGATCCACCGAATCATTACTCTGCTGCTGTCAAGGTAACAAACTTCTACTGGTATACCTTCATCAATACATCGAGTTGTTTGATCGAAGAAACTGCAGGTTGGTAATGCGTAACTTTCTTGACGGAGCCATGTTGTTTTGCTGCCATCAAGTTATTAGCAACCAGATGTTCACAGATTCGCTTCCACATGCTTTTCTCAAAACACTTGACAGAACACTAGTCAAACTAACTGGCCTATAGTTATTTGGTGAGGATTTATAACCACCCTCATGCATCGCCCCTACAACTGCTTTCTTCCAATCCTATGGTGTTATCCCCTTACGAAGAGACTTGTTGTACAACTCAAGTGTAAGAAGTTGGATTATGTCGGCCGTCGGCTTGCCAATAGCGGGATGCAAATTATCAGGCGCAGGTGGTTTGTATGGGTTTTAAGCCCTTCATTTCAGTGAAATTATCTGCTAGGCAAACA